TCACATAGCAATCCAGCAACCTTTTCTTTGTTTCTACCAAAATCTTCCCGCTTCTCAGCACCTCGCTTAGCTTTCAGTATGCTTCTTTTCGCTAGTCCAATACGCGTTCGAATCTCAGTGTCGCATTTTCAATCATCTGTTTAAACGCTTCCCACATATTTAAACTTCTGAACCTGCTTGATTTCTATATCTCCAATTCCTAACTCTCATATTGGACGTTTTTTCTTGCTTTTTGAAAATACTTTTCGTCAGTTGGTAGTTAGTTTTTTTTTTCTAGCTTTCTTCTATCACCCTGTCTATCAAATCCTGTATTTTTCACTAACTACTTTTACTTAATATACACTATTTAGATACCTTCCTCTCTCTCTCTCTCTATCTATCTACACACACACACACATATATATATATATATATATATATATATATATATATATATATATATATATATATATATATATATATATATATATATATATATATATATATATATATATATATATATATATATGGGACTGTGAACCTCTAAGAAAAGTAAGTGAACCTCTAAGATAATATGTAAAATAATTATCTCTTTTTTTTAGATAATCAACAAATTAAACTATATATTCACTAAGAAAAACCTTTATTAAATGAATTACAGCCACTTTCAAAGATTTTTATCAAGCTGGAATAAAAAATATTAATTATAAACTAAGACGAACAAAACTATTAGGACCATGAATAAGTTCTCGCCGTCGAAATTCAGTGTATGCCACTTCACCGAAGTGTAAACAACTTTGTTTTTCATAGCGTTAAACGTGTCGGATTTCGTGCTAAAGAAAGTGTACTTGCGAGAAATTTGACTGCACTACTTTATTCAAAAGAAATCTGCAGCTGAAGCGCACAGAATTCTTGTTGAGACTTACAGCGACCATGCTCTGTCGGAAACAACATGTAAAGATTGGTTTAGACGCTTCAAAAATAATGATTTTGATGTTGAAGATAACGCACTGACGCATCGAAAACGTTTGAATACGAAGAATTGGAGGCATTATTTCATGGAGACTCATGTCAATCTGAACTTGCAGAATCATTAGGAGTTGATCACACAACAGTTTCGAAAGGTTTGAAAGCATTAGGAATGATTCAAAAGCAAGGACATTGTGTGCCGTACGAGTTGAAGCCGAGAAACGTCAATTGGCGTCTTGTCACGTGTGATCAGCTGCTCAACGCCAGAAAAGGAAAGTTTTAGCATTGTATCGTGACCGGCAATGAAAAGTGGATACACTACGATAACCCTAAGCGTAGAAGATCGTGGGGTAAGCCCGGCCATGCATCAACATCGGCAACGACGCTGAATAGCTATGGTTCGAAACATCTTCTCTGCATTTGTTGGGATCAGCTGAGTGTAGTGTAAAGCTGCTCAAAACTATGACGAGTAATCGCTATCGATTACAATTGATGCATATGAGCCGAGCATTGGAGAAAAAACGGCTGTTATACGAGCAGAGACACGAAAAATTGATTTTGCAACATGGCAACGCTTGGCCACATGTCGCAAAATGGGTGAAAACGTATTTGGAAATATTTAAAGTGGAAGGCTTTCTCCACCTGCCATTAATACGTACAGACATTGCTCTGCCGTTAATAATCGTACAAACATTGCTCTGTACGATTATCACTTCTTCCGATCAATGGTAGATGCCCTGGCAAAGCAGCACTTTCATTCTTATGAAAATGCCAAAAAAATGAATCGACTTGTAGTTACCTTCGAAAGACGTGTCGTTTTTCCTACGTGGAATTCAAAAAATAGTATTGGACAATACTTTCAATGACATGTTTCTTACTAATGTTTGTAAACAAAACATTACTTTTCAGGAAAAATCAGCAAGAACTTATTCAAGGTCCTAATAAGTGAACCCTTACATTTACCCTGCGTATTTTTGTTTTACACGGTTTCCAGTGCAAATATTTTTTGTGCACATGTAAAATTTAAAATGACATGGGTTCATTTTTTGGTAAGCTGTGTATACTGCAGTCAAACAATATAACTCATTGTGTATTCAAATGTGTGCAGTTAAAGACTAAAATTTAAAAAATATATATGCAAAGATCAAAAGAACTTTCTGAAATGTTAAAAAATCGCATGGTAGAAGCCTATAATGATGGAGAAGGCAACAAAAAGCTATGAAAATAATTAGGAGTGCACTTCTCCACCGTGCAACAAATTATTTATAAATGGAAGGACTTTGTTATGACAGGATCGCAATCAAGAAGTGACAGCAAGAGCAAATAGACATCTCGTTAGGAAAACCTATGGAAATCCTGCTGTGACCTTTGTAGTTCTCCAATGTTCATTGGTCAATGTCAGAATCAATGTGCATATATCTACAGTGCGACGAAATCTGAACAATGACGATCTACATGACAGAATGCCTAGAAAAAACCACTGTTTACGAAGTAAGTCAAGTATGCTCGCCTCAGCTATGACAAAGTTCATATTACTAAGCTAGAAAAATTCTGACAAAAGGTTTTATGGTTGGATAAGACAAAACTAGAGATTTGTGGGAGAAACAATAGGTGGTATATCTGGCGAACTCTTAATACGACATGTGAATAGAACTTGATACCAACCATTAATCACAAGTGTCGTCAGTATTATGAGTTCGTGGGTGCTTTACTGCAGGTGGAACAGACAAATTAGTAAACATTGACAACACAATGAACTCTGTAAGATAGCAAGAAATTTTGAACGAAAATGTCTTGACCTCAGTTCAAAAGGGGTGCTTAGATCGGAGTTGTAAATTCCAACAAGGAAATGACCTCAAGCATCAAAACAAATCCAAAAAAAAATGTGATCGCAAAAAGAAATTTCAAGTCTTCGAACGGCTTAGTCAAAGTCCTGATCTAAATCCAATTAAAAATCTATGATTCACGTGAAAGAAGGCAGTGCATTATTAAATTTCCAGGATCCGTTCCTCTAAAATAGCCTCACACTATCACTGATCTTCCTCCATGTTTCACTGTTGGCTCAACACATTCACTTGCCATTTCAACAAGACAAAAAAATTCTTCTGTTTGACCCAAACGATTGGAATTTTGATTCGTTAGTCAATAGACATCGTTTTCTGCTCATTGACATTCCAATTTTTATGTTTGCTTGCCCACGGTAACGTTTTTTTTTGTTTTTTGTTTTGTTTTTTTAAGCATTTCACCTCTCGCAAGGCAGGAAGCCACTAGCACGTAAGGGGTTATAGAGGATTTGAAGCGGGAGCAGGTAGGAATGATAGAAGAAAGGATGAGGAGAAGGACAGTGGATAGATCAAGGCAACTGGAGATGTCGATTGACATTACATTTGAAAAGTTAGAGATTATAGCTATCAGAGAAACAGGAATAGGGAAGGGAGTTCCACAGGCGAGATGTGCGAGATATGAAGCTATTGGAGTAGAAGAGGCGGCTACATTTAACAGTTTCAACATTGAAAGGGTGAGAGCGAGATGCCTCGTAGGGCGCTTGAATTCATGAAGTCTGGGAACCAGCGAATGCAGCTCCTCGGAGCAATTACCATGAAAGTATTTGTAAAAAAGACAGAAAGAGGCGACGGCGCGTCTGTGAGAGAGCGACTGCAGACGAGATTCCAGATCGGGGCCAATTATATTGCATATCCGTCTCTGGATCTTATCAAGAACCCCGAGGCAAACAGAAGGGGCTCCAGACCATATATGCCAGCAATACTCCATGTTTTCTCTTTATTCTCACGTCGTAGAAATTGCTTCTTGACAGCCACTCGAACATGAAGGCTTCTTGATATCAGCGTCTGTTTTACAGTTGTTAGAGATAGTGGGTTTTCTCTGGATGAGTTTCAATGCGCCATCAATTCGGGTGCTGTTGAACTTCGATTCCTTTTGCAATTTAATATGAGTCGTCTACTTCACTCTGAGAAGTGACTCTGCTTTTGCCTGAAATTTTTCTATCTTTCTTATTCACACCAGTTTCATCCTTCCTTCTTAGAGAATATTGTAAACCATAGCTGGATATTCTCACTTTTATTAGCAATTAATTTGCGAATATCCTTCTTTAGTAAGAATTTCGATTTGAGCTCTCGTTTCGATTGATATTTGATTCCTTCAAGCCATTTGAGAGTTAAAACAAAAAGTATTTTATTCACTTAATGATTATCAAGAGAACTGCAGTAAACATCAACAGACTGAGAATAAAGATTAACGACAAAGTGAGAATGGCTAAGAAAAACTACTTGATTTCAAATGTGCATACTATTTTGAGTGGATTTTGATTCGGGATAAGCAGAAGTGAACAAATTTTTGGAGCAATAGATTTTGTACATAAAGGCTTCCATTAAAGTAACTGAAAATTGGGCCATTTTAATAAACATATATAAATGAAGGTTATATTCAACTATTTCTAATAAGCTCATTACTTTAAACATCGAAAAAGGTGCATAAGATTTGATTTTATACTGGGATCTAAAATATTTCTGGGGTTGCTACAAACTTTTGAACTGAAATATATATATGGAAGTGTGGGTTTGTAAACAGTGACTATTTCGGCTAATAATGCTAGACTCTTCGGTAAATCGAATCGAGTTCTCTCAGTCACTTCGTGTTTATTTAAAAATAAATACGCTTAAATTCGCCTTCGTCCCTGCCGTGCGCCAATGGCTTAGTGGTAGAATCCCGAGTGATGCCAATTTAGTCGAGTTTCGATCCTAGCTCGAGGTAACCAGACGTCTAGCCACACTGATGAGCTGTGAATTTATTTATAATATATGTATTTTTACAGAGAAAAATGAAAACTTTATTACTTAGAATTAGATTTTCAGTTTTTTTTTCCCGAGAAAAAATTTGTTGTTTTACATTTTTAACTTTAACTGGTTTCGCTTAGCTTTTCAAAAAGTTTTCAACTTTTTGTATCTCCACGTGTTGATGCTTATGTTTTGAACAAATGATAAAAATAAAAAAAAAAGAAATAATCCAGGGGCGTAACTGGCTATATATGTCACTTATTTTAAGGAATATGTAGATAGATAGATAGATAGATAGATAGATAGGCGGGTGTGCGTTTGGGGGCACACATTCAGTGATGCATATATTCACAAATACATCTGTACAAATTTCAATTTGGTATGTTTTAGTGATAACCGCTAAAAAATGTTTCTTTTCTTTTCTTTTCTTATTTTTTTTCTTTTTTCTTTCCTTATTTTTATTTTATTTTTTTATTTTTTGGTTGGGTTTATTTTGTCAAATTCAGTTTTTGTCATGCTCATTTAATAAGCACCTAGGACATGTCCAAAGAAAGGTTTCCCATGGTGAGAAGTCAAAACATCAATGGCTTCAGCAGAATGTCAGGAAGATTTTTGTTTGTTTGTTTTTTGTTTGTTTTTTTTTTTGTTTTTTCAGAGAACGGAAAAAAAACAAAAAAAAAAAAACGTTTTTAAAAAAATGTTTAAATGGCAAAACGTTGTAAATAACAAGATGTGTTATTGGCGCTTCATGATGTTGAAAAGTAAAACAGATAGATAGATAGATAGATAGATAGATAGATAGATAGATAGATCGTAATAAAGAACTATATAATCCTAAAGAGAGAACTAGATAGATAGATAGATAGATAGATAGATAGATAGATAGATAGATAGATAGATAGATAGATATTGGTTATTTGTTTAACAGCATATCAACTTCATATGAATCATTTAATGCCGAATAGATAGATAGATAGATAGATAGATAGATAGATAGATAGATAGATAATGAACAAATGAAAATAGAGAGATTTATAGATACATAGATATTTTATGCATTTCAGGCTCTTCCCAACTTCCCGTTCCTTATAGCTCTAAGCCACGTTTCACTCCTTATTATCTATTTACGAAAACTCTCTGTTCTGTCATCCATTTACACAGACAACAATGTTCCTTGCTGTTGCTTTCTACCCCTTTAATAGGCCCTGTGAGTATCAATTTCCCCAAGCCCGCTTTCTTCATTGTCGCAGAAATTTCAACAATCCTTTCCTGATTCAAGTAAAATTAATATCACATAGCAGTTCAGCACTCTTTTTGTGTTCCTTATGTTATTTCCTGTTCCTTAATCTAGTAATGCCTTGAGATATGAGCCTACCGACATAGGAGTTTTTTTTTTTTAGATATGAGCCGTTTTTTTTTCCTTGAGATACGAGCTGATATCTCAGATACGAGCGAGTTACATTTAAGCATTTACTTGTTGCCAAGCATCGAGAGTATTTCCACACCTAGTACATGTGTTCACCTCGCGCTAGAAGGATCTTTTTTTTCTTTTTTTTTTTTTTTTTTTTTTTTGCAGTTATTTTGAAAATCTCTTTAGTGATACCATGATATCCAAAGAAGGTAAATGTAAAGAGCTGTGATGAAAAGACGAAACGTATAATTTAGTTTGAGGGAAAAGGGGAAATTATTTTTAAAAAACCGCAAGAAAGACGTACGAGTAATGGATTTGGCGAGACAGTATGAGCGTTCTACATCGATGATAAATAAAAAAATTATGAAATTTAAAATGTTTTAAAAATACTTACAGTAATGGATAAAACGTAAATGTTTAAAAAATTAGATTTTCCCAATTATCTCTAAATATATATCAGTATCAACAGACCAGACGTGGCAGTAATACTCAAAGCGAGGGTGAATGGTAGGCTTATAAGTATTTAAGACAGTTTTTGGCGAGAACAATTTTCTAGCACAGCGTAGTGAACAAAATGTCTTATCTGTAGACTTAGCAGTTGATTCAATATACACATTCCACTTCAGGTCAGCCGAAAACGTTACTCGAAGAAGACGCAATGAGTCGCTCTCCTGGAGGTTAGCATCAGCCATACTAATGGAAGATAAAAAGGGTATTAATTGTAGGGGGTTAGGTCTATAATTAAATTTTTATCTTTTATTGTTTGAATTTGTATGCATATGCTAGTATTCATAATTTACGCACACTCTTAATTTTAAACTCTTAATATAACAAATAGGCAACCATTCATTTATTCACACATTACATATGACGTCACGAGTCTTCATAATCCATTAGGGTCAGAAGAACATCATATGTGCTGCAGCTATAGCAGCGGTGGTGTGTCTTGGGCAAGATAGCCTAACGTTTCGAGACGGATTTGTATTCTAAGTTTTTCTTCTCGTAGACTTGTTGCTACCTCAAGGCAAGAGAGGTAAGTCTGTCTTGCTATTTAACCCATAGATGGAGGAAGATGGATTCAGGGTATTAGCGCGAAGTGAACGAAACAGAATCGAGTTGGAATTGAAACCGATATGCTGGATATTCTTTTCGCACTGACAGCATTATTAGTGGTAAGAGAAATAGTATAAAAATGACAATTCAATATTTCCTCCTCAATCGTGATTCGATAATCATTTTCATAAAAAATGTAGAAAATACTAGATGAATTTCTTCATCTTCATTTTATTGTCTGGTAATTTAATCAAGCATTTTTAAGCGTTGATTAATTTTTTGGGGGGATTTTTTCCTTTTAATTTAATTGATATTTTTTTTATATTATTTTGGTGAGACGCTTTGAATCCAAATAAATCCGTTAATTCAATTACTTGCTATTCGGACTCAGATCAGAGGTAATTTTTCATCCTTGAAAAATATTCGTGAATCAACATAAACTTGAATCGTGAAGGAGACATCTTACTTAGCAATACGCTGAATATAATCAACATTTAACTTAGCTCTGACATTATGCACCTATATGCATACATGTAGGTATAGCTGTATGTAAAAATAGTAAACCCATAAATAACTTCCATTATTTATATATCTGATTAAATATTCCGATTTTGATTTGATGACATTAATCTACACAGCTCCCCTTCTTTTATGCCCCGTGTTTCTTTAGGTTATGGGTAACCATGTCCCTCCACAACTTCCTATCTTTTGTATCTCTAAGCAGTATTTGTCTCCTTACTATCTATCTTTTTCATGCAATCCAGTTACACAAGGTTGTTAGGTTACTTGCCACAACTCTATAGCCCTCTTGCATAAAATATGCCCTGTGCGTATCAAATTCTCCAAATCTGTGTGGGAATGAAGAGCATAGATAATGATTGGTCCTTGACTTGAAAAGGTCAAAGTTTAAATATTTAGAGAACCGCCCAGGCGGGTGACTGTTCTAAAAAAGTAACAGTTTGGGGGGGAAAATATTTGGATGAGACTTCCTTCTTATATTTGGAACACTGTGGAAACGAGAGTGGAAGTGATAAGATCTAAACTGATGAAACGAAAGAAGTGTTAATGTGTTTTTTACGGCTTATCAACCTTTTGTGGGTTATTTAAAAAAAGAAAATATTTTTAGATTCTTAAGAATTTTTTTTAAGTCAATGAAGTTTACTGATTTCATTCCTAGTAATTAACCCCTATATTGGGAGAAAAGAGGTGGATTCATATCTTTCCCATGGGTATTTGCGAGTAATAAAACATCAGTTAATTGCCATACGTGATCCACGTTTTGGCGATCATAACTCTTTGGATTCATGACTGACTAGGCAGAAGATTTTCTGTCAGTAAGTTGTCATTTCTGTCTGATGTAGACTGGTTACCAACCAACCCAGTCTGCCCTGTTATGCAACATACAGCTGGGAGAGAAGAAACTGATTTACAGCTTCCCCAAGGGCATTTTCCCGTCACTGAATTCATTTCCGAGCTGTTACACCACCCGCGCATCCAAGCTTACAACACCTAGTATTCCCAAGTAGTCACCCATCTAGGTACAGACCAGGCTCGACGTTGCTTCGGTGAGAACAATAAAATTTGTGGGAGGATCGTAATATGAAATTGCTTGAACAATGGCATAAGATAGCGTAAACTTCACAGTAAATTTGACAAAAATACCTCGTCTTTGGCATATCACGCCAGTTGACGGAAAAACAAATGGCTTACATGGTTAAAGCGTTTGTTTTAAAAAAAACAAACCTGATTCTCTGGTAGTTTTGAGGATAATCCATTAGTCGAATATTGCGTAAAAAAATCGCATATTCTAGTTCAATATGAGAAAAAAGACAAGGGATACAAAGGTGAATTAATACTGGAGAGTATTAAATGATACGGACTTTCTGTAGAATCTTTATCGAGATTAGCGCAAAACATTATCGGAAACCTATGAAATGATCACGACTGCCAATGGACAAATGCTTTGAGGGCGTTTATGAGATAAAAGACGCTGTGGTGCGGTCTCAGGACATGTGCATTATGGAGTGCTACTAGGAAGCCTTTACGAAGTGGCTGGAACGCTAAATCATGCGCGTTGAAATTGGAGAATCCTATTTTAAAGGTGATTACAGTATTTGTATTGTTTTAAAATAAATAAATGACATTATTAAAGAAAATCTTAAAAATTCCGGAGTGTACTTTGTAGATAAGTATAAGAAAGAAAGAAAGAAAGAAAGAAAGAATGGAACAGAATTAGATAGATAGATAGATAGATAGATAGATAGATAGATAGATAGATAGATCACGACTGCTTATGGTCTAATGTTTGAGGGCGTTTATGAGACAAAAGACGCGGTCTCAGGACATGTCCATTTCGGAAAGCTACAAAGAATCCTTTACGAACTAAAATGATACAGTACGCGAATTGAAAATGGAGAATCCTATATTGAAGTAGATAGATAGATAGATAGATAGATAGATAGATAGATAGATAGATAGATAGATAGATAGATAGAAGTTTTGTATTTGTTTTCTCTTAAAGGAAATCTTAAAACTTGCAGAGTGCACATTGTAGATATATATTAGGAATCAGTTAGATTGAAAATCAACAGAATAAGATAGATAGATAGATATGAACAGAATAAGATAGATAGATAGATAGATAGATAGATAGATAGATATGAACAGAATTAGATAGATAGGTAGATAGATAGATAGATAGATAGATAGATATGAACAGAATTAGATAGATAGATAGATAGATAGATAGATAGATAGATAGATAGATAGATAGATAGAAACAAACAATAGATAGATAGATAGATAGATAACAGATAGATAGATAGATAGATAGATAGATAGATAGATAGATAGATAGATATGAACAGAATAAGATAGATAGATAGATAGATAGATAGATAGATAGATAGATAGATACATAGATCACGATTGCTTATGGACTAATGGTTTGAGAGCGTTTATGAGATAAAAGAGACCGTGGCGCGGTCTCAGGACATTTGCATTATGGAGTGCTACTAGGAAGCCTTTAACAAGTGGCTGGAACGCTACAGTTTGCGCGTTGAAATTGGTGAATCTCATTTTGAAGGAGATTAGAGCTTTTTGTATTTGTTTTCTCTTCAAGGAAATCTTAAAACTTGCAGAGTGCACTTTGTATATATATATATATATATATATATATATATATATATATATATATATATATTAGGAATATGATCAGATAGATAAATACATAGATAGATATGAACAGAATAAGATTTAAATCAACAGAAAAGAATAGATTGGAACAGAATGAGATAGATTGATAGAGAGAGAGAGAGAGAGAGAGATAGATAGATAGATAGATAGATAGATAGATAGATAGATAGATAGATCACGACTGCTTATGGACTTATGTTTGAGGGCGTTTATGAGAATGGAACAGAGAGAGAGAGAAAGAGAAAGAGAGAGAGAGAGAAAGAGAATAATGCCGAAGAATAGTCCAGTATAAAAAGTAACTCTATTTTCAACAGAGTATGATTCGGGGCATTTATGTTGCTGAAAAATGATAGATATACACGCCTATGTATTTTTAACCCCTGAATAGTTTCAAGAAGATACTTCATTTGTCGTGTTTGTAGCAAAAACGTTTGAAATCTCAGCAAAGGAATGTCTTTGGGCAGAATACGACATACGACAGGTTTGGTTCAGAAAAAAAAACATCACTCACTACAGTACATTCACAAATATATTGAAACCGGCATATAAGATTAGTTTTAAGCGGATTTTTTTAAGAGAAGTGTAGTTTAATCTTCTACAAACTGCAAGGGAAGGAAAGGCGGATGAGATGAGAATGTATAATAAACGGACACACATACGCACATATATATATAAAATGTAATAACAATGGCAACATTAACTCATTTTCGTTTATTAGGTATTAAATTATATCACCTGGCAGCATCCATAGTTTACGTTGATTTTCACTGTTAGCCTAAAGGATATTGCTGAGCGTTTTTAAATTAAATAAATTTAAAAATCTATATTTTTACTTCTGTTTATAAATACATGACGCAAAATAAAATCCTTAAACGCGTTGATGAAGAATATTTTTGTCGTTATTCTATATATATATATATATATATATATATATATATATATAGAGAGAGAGAGAGAGAGAGAGAGAGAGATAGATAGATAATATTAGTGGTCAATATATATATATATATATATATATATTTATATACGTAGGAATTTGTAGATCTAATGATTTAGATCATAATTACGATTCCAATTTAATAAATTATAACCCTGGAAAAAAAAAAAATATATATATATATATATATATATATATATATATATATATATATATATATATATGCACATTTCTTTTTCTCATGCGACTTTTATTTAGGTTTTTATTTAGTTTTTTATTTAGTTTTTTTAGAAATTGTATAAAAAAAAAAACTAAATAAAAGCACCTTGCCTGTCTTATTCAATGAAATGTGCATGAAAGAAGGATTGCTGCTTAAATACACACACACACACACACACACACACACACACACACACACACACACACACACACATATATATATATATATATATATATATATATATATATACTGCTTATATTTCAATAAAGCAGTAAATTCGACTTTGCCAACCGAACGATCCTTTTGTGCCCGAGCGGTTAGGAACGTCAAGCTAAATGACGGTTTATATATATATATATATATATATATATATATATATATATATATATATAGTACTGTGCAAAAGTAAGTGAAACCCTAAGGAAATATGTAAAATAATCGTCTCTTTTCTAGTTGATCAACAAATTAAACTATATATTCATTAAGAAAAAATTTGTTAAATGAATTACAGCTACTTTCTAAGCAGTGGCCATTTCTAAGCATTCTGTCATGAAGATGAGCAGTGTTCAGATTTCGTCGCAGAGTAGATGTATACACATTGATTCTGACACTGGCCAGTGAGCAGTGGAGATTTGCCTGGGCTTGCCTAACGAGATGTCTACTTGCTCTTGCTGTTATTTTTCGTGGGCGGCCACTACTTGATTGCGATGCTGTCATAACAAAGGCCTTAAAAATCAATAAGTGAGTGGGTTTTAAAAAAGTCAGTTTATAAGTATTCGACAATGCACTTTCATGAGTAGTACAGGATACGGCCCCAAATACCTCTCACATAATGGTATGGCATTAATAGCAATTATGTATTCATCTAGCTAATGTCTTATCTTTATGTAGGGAGGTATTTCTGGGAGGCTTATGTGGGCGGTATTTCGGTGTTTGTGGGAGCGTATATGAGAGGTATTTCTGCCGCACCCCGTATATGTGGTCCTCCAGGTCTGCAATACCAGTTGTTGTATTCACAGTATGAGAGGGTTTACGGCCACATCAAGTGGACACGCCAGCCCCCGTACGATCACTGAAGTTAAAATGGACGCCCACTTGGAAATATCAGCTCCTGTAACTTTGGTAATCGTACGGGAACTGGTATTTCAACATGATATGGCCGTAACCCTGAAAATCCAGTTATAAATGCTTTACAGTTTTTATATAAGTATATTGGTATAATTTTATTTTAAACATACGTTTAATAATTAAAAATAGCTCCTTATCGTAAGACGCAGCCTGTATCCATTGCATTTTCTTCTCGCGAGAAAATGTCTACTCAGAAAAGATGATAATTAAATTGCCTTCGTAGGGAAGAAAATTCGACACAAGACGATGGTTAATGAGGAGCCTCCCACGCGTGTGTAATGAAAAATAATCTTACAGTCTCACCGGCTTTTACTGCAGTCGTCAGAACATCATCTTAACATCAATACTATAGGGATGTGTTTCCTTACCTCAAATTTCCTGGAACCAAATGTACATAATTTATATTGTCTCTCGACTCTTCTGTGTCAAAATGCTGGACTGCTTCGAAGAACAATGGGCATTTTAATGTTGCATGTTCTGAAAGACAATTATGGTAAATGCCAATGGAAAAACTACAATGGCGAACGTAAGATATGTCGCCTATGTAAAAAAGAATATATAAGCAATTTTGCTTAATTTTTGCTAATGTATGTAAATGTGTAAATAAGTGACACGGAGGCACGGTGGAGTAATGGATAGAGGCTCGGACTGAGGAATTCCAGTCGAATCCATTACATTTACTTACGTACTAATACCCTTGGGAAAGGTAGGAATCAGCTATGGATAAATAGCAGGACAGAGCGGATGGCAATTGGTCTACCGCTGAAAAAAAAATGGAATACTGTTATGGTCCGGTTCCTTGTACCACGGTGATAGTCCAAGGTAGAGCCAATAAAGAAGAACTCGAATATGGATATGGAATAACACAGATATATTACAAACAGGAATATATACAGAGAAGTAGAAAAGTGTTAGTACGAACAATCAGGTTTAGTAGTAATTGTCTGAACGCGACTCTGTTTTGGACTGCCTCTGACTCGACTGACTGACTCGCTCGCTCTGACTGACTGACAGACTCCTGACGGACTTCACTCCAGACTTCAGACGAAACTCTAGACTTCAGACGGAACGATATCTAGTCACCCCCAACGAGGACATCATGTGGCACAAGGCCGGTTTAACGTGAGATCTCCGAACTCGTGAGATCTGCGAGCCCGTGGGCTCGGCCAAAAATATGGCCTTTGAACCCGTATAAACGGGTTCAGGGTCTGTTTACCTCCCCAAAAGAGACTCCGCCCTTCGGCCTAGCCTCGTTCGGGTTCCTCTCCGCCCGAAGGCAAAGAGTTCAACCGATCAGCCGGTCAGCTGGTTACCCGACTTCAGACTGAACTCTCTGCTTCCTGTTGAGGCGCAGTATTTATTACGTATGGAATAGTCCATTATGTTATTATGGGTAAGGTCCCATAACATATAGAAGGAGCACCGGACCAGATGTGGCAGCTATATTCAAAGCAAGGACGAATGGTAAAAAATACGAAATATGTGAGATAGATTCTAGCGAAAAAAATTGCCTAGCACGTCATAGTTAACCAAATTCCTTACGTGCAGACCTAGCAATTAATCCAATATACTCTTTCCGCTTCATTTCAGCTGAAAACGTTTGTCCGAGAAGGCGCAATGGATCACTCTCCTCGAGCATCAGCCATAATAAAATAATGAAATTAACCTATTACTGCATAAACTTTCCTTGGAACATTAGCTCTTTTTTGCCTAATCTAAGTTGCTGGCTAATGGTAATATTGAACTATCGGTTTTACATTCTAGATAACCTCCTCTCTAAAAAAATAAAAATGACACCATGCACTAATGTGTTAAATAGTTTCAGCATCCTAACTGGTTAGGAGTTAAACCAAACAAAGTATGAAAGTTAAAACCAAACGAGATAAATGAGAAACTGAGTTTCAAAAAAAGTTCATTTGTTTAATTTTTACGAAGAAGTTGTAAGTATTCGATAATTTGTTATGGAGTGGTTTCACAGTATTTGTACTAAGTCGGTCCTAAAATAGGTTCGACGTACAAATCGTTAGGAACTTGATATAATAGGTAATGACGCAGAGAAATCTAGTTGTGGTCACTGATACTTTAGTATCCGACTAACAGTTGTCCGACATCGACTGACTGACCGACCCACTGAGCAACTCCTACTACTCCTACATATTATAGGTGGGAGAGTCTATTAATAATAGAATAGGTGTGTTCCACTATAACATAATCTAATTATGATATGTTGTCAATATTTACGTTAAGGTTCATTTCGTGAGTAGATATGATCGTTCGGGAAAGATCGTAGACGATTTGTTGTTCATAAACAGTAATTGGAATTTGCTAACCAGACGCTTCCTATGTAGCTGAGTGGTATAGCATGTCAAATCAATTGACTGTTCCGTATAGGACACAGGTTCGATAACTGTCGGAGAACATTCTCGAACACTCAGACCGATAAATGTAATTAATACTGTTTATATTAAAAAAAAACAAAAAAAAACAGTATTTACTTAAATAAATTATATCTATTAAAATAACGTATAAACAGAAAAAATATGTATATATATTAGATACGTTCTTTTAATGTCTTCATTTAAGAGCCGACAAGAATGACGTAAATCGGGGTTAAAACACGTTTTCAAAATAGTATCACATATTAAAGGTTTAAAGTTTCCACGAAGAGCCTTCTACAAACCTTCCAATAGCCTATTCGTGACAAACTACTATGCCAAAATCAAATTTCTTACAGTAATACAACATATAAAAAACAACATAATTTCCCGGAAGAGTGACTCCCACTTCATTGTTTATTTCTCGTCTCTTTGAAAAAGGACACAGGAATGTCCGAAAATTCCGATTTAAAATCTTTCTCTTCGTACTTGGGTTTAATCAAAAGGCCTACTAATATATAATAAATATCATGAATCTTATTGACAATATTTTTATTATTTTGTTGTCTTTTCATTCCTGGAATTTTATTAGCCGGCACGCACATGGTCATACACGCACACGCTTGGATGCACGTCTGGGGCAATGGATAATGGCTCGGATTTGTTAATCGGAAAGAAAAGTTCCAATTCCAACCCGGTTCGTTATATTCACTGATGCTCAAATACCCATGGGAAAAGATATGAATCCACCTCGTCTCCTCTCCAGCTATGGGTTAATTAGTTAGACTTACAATATAAAAATTAAAATATATTT